AGTATGGTATAAAATTTTGATACACATCTTTTTCTTGGCTTTGTTCTGGAAAAGCCTGGGCTTTCCAGTGGGGGTCTTGGTTCCATTAATTGTTCCCAGGAACAATTTCAGTGCATCCAAAGTGGTGGCTACACCCACATTCACATGTGACACACAGCTGTGCCCCCCACAAGCTTGAACTGGTGCTTTTATGAATCACTAGTCCTGTAGCATGTTGACCTGCCCTACAGAGCTTGCCCAGGTCATGCTAAGAATGCCCTTTTGACAGCCTGCTCCCCTCCCACAGGGTAAGCAGCCCTTGTCCACAGCACTGGTCTGGGAGTCAGAAGGTCAGGCTCAGTCCCAGCTCTGGCTCTTGCTCCCTGTGATTTGACAGCTTTTAACTCCCCAGAGCCTTAGCATCCACTTCTGAAGAAGTTTGGACAAATGATCTCCCTGTGGTTCCCAGACCCAGACCTAGGCCAGTAGAAGTTCTGAAGGCTACTGGTCAGTCTCTCTCCTGGTACTCTGGAGCCCATGGTCTCTTGTCTGACCTCAATGGGTTTAGACAAACTCTTCAATGTACTGACAAGAAGCAAGACATCGCCCTCCAGGGTAAACTCCATTTAATTCAGTCTGCTCAGTAGGTCAGCAAAGAACTAGGCCCTGTCAGGGATGAAAAGGAAGCACAAAGGAAAGGCTTACCCTTGAAGAATCAGAAGCTTGTTAGGGAGGCAGGGATGTGCTCCTGTCCTCAGCAGAAAACAGGCTTAAGGCAGTGGGCAAACGCTGGCAGAGCTGGCTAAACTGAGGGCATAAACGAGAAGGGAATTTAAAGCCGAGGAAATTGATATGGGAAGGTGTATTAGTTTGCTAGGCTATTGTGACAAGTACCACAATCTAGGTGGCTTAGAACAACAGAAAGTATCTCACAGTTCTGGAGGCTAGAAGTCCAAAGTCAAGGTGTTGGCAAGGTTGGTTCCTTCTGAGCTGTGAGGGGATCTGCTGCAGGCCTGCCTCCTTGGCTGCCTTCTCCCTTTGTCTCCCCACATGGCGTTTTCCCTGTATGTGTGTCTCAGCGTCCAAATTTCCCTTTTTATATGAACACTGTCACATTGGAATGGACCCATCCTACTGCGGTATGACCTCATCTTAACTAATTACATCTGCAATGACACTATCTCCAAATAAGGTCACATCCCGAGGTACTGGGGGTTAGGACTTTTACATATAAATTTGCGGGTGCGGATAAACTTAACTCATAACCGAGGATTTAGCTCGGTGGACTCTTGGAAGGAAAGATGTTTTAAATGTGAGTAGGAGATGGTGGGTGGAGGGGGAATAGAAGCAATGGAGGCAAAGGTAAAGGGACACAAGAGGAGGGGCTATGTGGGGGTGGTAAGGAGGAATTCTGGGCTGAGTGGAGAGGGGAGCAGGGGGTGGGGAAGAAGACATAAGAGAGGTGGGGCAAGGAGGAGGTCCTGGCCCTGCGTGCCCAGGCATGGCCTGTGGACCAGCGTGGCAGAACTCAGAGCCAGCTGTATGTGGGGTGGCCTGGTGGAGGAAGCTGCCAGCTCATAGACGTCAGGCAAGGCCTTTGGGTGAAATCTAGTCTGAGCTGAGGAATGGAGCTAAGATTATGAATGTGGTAATGAACAAACGCTCATTTGTGGAACACTGCTGTGGAAGTGTTATCAAACTTACGGAAAAAAGGAAGCCAGCAAAGATACCCCAAAGCCTGTGTGAGTCTGTGGGCAATGGCAACGTTAAGATGCAGGGCTGGGGTGGATGGTTGGGAATGTTGATTTTGAGATGATGATGACACTACATTCGCTTCTGTATTCATATGTGCCAGGTTCCTGGGAGCCAGCAGTGAATGAGACACAGGCCTGCTGTAAGGCGCTCACAGCCCTCTGGGGAAAGACAGACAGGACTCAAACAATGCTATTCAGTATGACAGGTGTCAAGGAGTGGGGAGCACAAGGGAGGAGACTTAGCCCAGCCTGGGGGAGGCTTCCAGACTCCAGAAAAAACTGCTGGGAGGAAGGATGGGAAGGACATTTCAGGCAGAGGGCCGGGATTGTGTAAGGCAGGGAGGTGAGAAAGTCATTAGTACAGCTTCCAAGAACTGCAAGCATTTCCCAGGCTGGGAACTTCAAGCTCATGTTGGG